TTCATTTATGGGTGTAGAGTTAGAGGACTTTAAAGTGATGCCCCTAACTTAGTTTATTGTTTTAAGTTCTGATACGAGAATGTTAGCCCCCAGGTGGAAGGAATCAAGGGAACTCTAGAGTGAGAGCTAGTATCTTCCCTGCCTAGCCGGTCTTCATAACTATTCAAACTTTAAATTAGCCAATATTCTTTATAGCATCTCTACTAAGGGCAAAGAATATTATTGCTCCTATTTGGCACAACACAATTTCCATACTTCGACAATAGAATTCCTATACTTATTACTGCATGATAACAAGAAAAATATATTCGTACTGAATACTTTTCTTCTACAAAAACTTTAGTTATATTTTTAAGTTATTACTGTTTCGTTAAAATATCAAAAATACCAAAAATATTTACATTTTAAATTCCTGAAAAAATCATTTTTAGTTTAAGGAATTATCTTTTTAAAAATAGAAAAACTTTCTAAAAAGTGCATATTACATAATCTTCCCTATGGGTTCAATATTCAGGTCTTAATTAAAAAGTCCTATATTACTTGATATTTTAATATAAATATATATATAAATTTAAAAGTTAAATTTTTATTTTTTTTCAGAATCAAATTTTTGGTTTTGTTGCAAAATAAAGAAATATAAGTGAAAAATACCATCAGAACTATTGTTATATTGTGCATAAGCATTAAGTATTCAAAGATCAAGTTTTTGGCGTCATTGTCGGGGATTAAAATATTCAAGTAGTGGTGTCAACTTCATAAATCCTTACACATACAAAATATAGGGATCAAGTGTTTGGCACCATTGCTCTGGGATAACTCTGAGATAAAAAGAAAGAAAACTAAGTAAATTTTTATTTTTAGAAAGTCTTATTTAAACTTTAAATATTGTATCTTTTTTTGTATGTTTTATTTTATTTTATTTTATGTTAGTGTACGAGTAGTTCAGGTTTTGAAGGACTAGTGCCCTACGATTCTGAATTAGAAAGAACTATTAGAAAAATCAGATAAACCAAAAAAATTAAAACTCTTGAAAATTCCAAAAAAATTACAGAAATGACAAACCAAAATAATGAAAATGTTAAAATTCATCAAGAGTTCAGACCTTTAAGAGATTATGCCAACCCTACTGTTGATGAATTTCATTGTAGTATTCAAAAACCTACTGTAGTGACTAATTCATTTGAGCTTAAACCTACTATTATCCAAATTGTTAAAAAAATTAATTTGGGGGATCACCAACTGAAGATCCAAATTTACATCTTGCCAATTTTCTAGAATTATGTGCTACATTTAAATATGATGGTGTTTCAGATGATGCCATAAGACTTAGGTTATTTCCTTTATCACTGAGGGATAAAGCTAAGATGTGGTTGAATTCGTTAGCACATGTATCTATCAGAACTTGGGGTGATTTAGCACAAAAATTCCTTGCTAAATCTTTTCCACCATCAAAAACTGAGAAGCTAGAAATGATATTACATCTTTTAATCAGTTTGAAGGGGAATCTATTTATGAAGCATGAGAACGATTTAAAGAACTCTTAATAAAGTGTCCCCACTATGTTATACCAGATTGGTTAATAATTCAA